TTGGTGGGGGAGGCCTTGGGGCTGAGGGAGGAGAAATCACCTGTCAGGCTGACCACTGTCCCTTCCCTGAAGCCCTGGAAGGGGGTCCTGGGGCTGTGGCCAGGAGGTGGGAGAGCATCAAACCCGGGGGCATTGGGGGATGGGGGCAGGACAGGAAGGGAAGGGAGTCCCGAGGGACAGCCTAGTGTCATCCCAAATAACTTGTTTTCCACCCACCTGCAAGCCCTGTCCCTACCACCCCAGGCAGTGTGTCCTGCTCGCATCCACAAATGCCCCTTTGGACCACAGTCAGACCCAAGTTTTCTCCTTTTGCTGAACGCAGTCTGCCCTGGGGCATCACAGAAGCCGGTGCCATGGCGTGGGTGGACCTGGGAAGGGACCCTCCTCCCTGCTCTCCTGAGAGCCCCAGAGCCTGGAGCCGGACCAGGTTCTCCTTCTTGACCCTGAACCTTTGCCCTTGGAGGGGACGCTTCCTCGCCTGCCCCGAGCCAATCACATCAATTTTATAAATTGCCTTTATTGAAGAAAATAAAATTACACGGAACTATACAAATCAGCAAAAGCGATTTGTATATTTGTATCAGTTCATTCAATCTCCGTTGCCATCATCCGTGGTCAAGGGCGATGGTTTATTGCTTATTTCTTCTTGTCTGAAGGGCTCAGCTTGTCCAATAATTGCTGAGTCTTAACATTTTTTCGCACCGTTGTTGGCAAGGGAAATTAATGCTACTATTTCGATGGTCACTGAAGCTTGTGTTTTGATCTCTTCCCTGCCCATACTTGCGAATCAGGGAGAATGAACTCCAAGTACAATTTGTCCGTGGTAACTCCATCCATCTTTGAAACAAGAGGAATTTAATGATTTCTGACCTGCAGATCTTACTTCCTTGTCCCACTCAGCCTGCTCATTCTCTGTAAAATATGACGAGGGCAGCCAGGTAGCTCAGTGGGTTAGAGCTTCGTCCCCATAAGCCAAGGTTGTGGGTTTGATCTTCCAGTCAGGGTCAGGGCACATCCACGAAGCAAACTTGAATTAGGGGCTTTGCCTAGCGTTAGAGATGATCAGAGATAATGTTTTATGACCTATCTGTGCGGCAAAGCAAACCTCTAATTACTGATCATCTGCTCTTCTAATCGTCCTTCAGTGATCTTCCTTCCCTCTGAAGCCCCAAGGTCATCGTTAGCTTGGGATGTCTTACAGGAGAAGAAACATCATCGGTGTTCTTTCAAAAACAGGTAATAGCCTCAAAACCCTTGTATTGTAGATATGACATGTATTTACGTAAACTGACAAAATGATTCCACTAAGACCTTATGAACATGAAAGCTTGAACATCTACAGTGATTGTAAATACTCCAGCTGTGTTATTAAAGTAACTATTGCATTTGTATTTCATGCAACAGAAACCCATTGATGTACGTTGCAGTTTATCCTGTGAATCCCAGCAAAGATTCATAGATGTGTGGAACCTGTTTACCATCTCTTTCTGAGTGCACGTCAGCAGATACGCCCAAGGTCTTAATGGGAGACCCACCAAGGCTCGGAACAGTGAAGAAGTCACACAGTTGGCCATCCATCTCCCCCAGCAGGACATCAAAGTCAAGACCAGGAACTAACTCATTTTCCCATCCATTCATTCGTTTATTCTTTCATTCCCTCATTTATTCAGCAAACATTTAATGAGCATCTCCAAAATGCCAGGCCGTGCTGGGTTAGGATCAAGGATGAACCACCTCGACAGGTAGTCCCTGGTCCCGAGGGTCCTACAGTCCAAAAGGGGAGGCAATGAGCAATCGGGTGCAGCAGCCAGCACTGGGGAGAAACGTCCACAATCACTGAGATCAGAAAATATTTGATCATGTGTGGCAGGAACAGCAAAGTGTTGTATTTCCCAGCCAAGTCTTGTTGCAAAAACCTCTGAGCTTCTGACCTACATATTTGACCACTGTTTGCTTTTCCTTTGTGCTCCTGGTATTATTGGTGTGAACAAGGTGAACACTGGCTTGCAGTCGCTTCAAGGCCTGAAACCGTGGGTTCATTACACCCCAAGAGGGACACACATAGCTTCCGGTCCCATCTACTCTAACAGACTCACTTTTAGAAGACATTTCTCCTGGGAACCTTGGGCACTGCTAATTGGCAGCCACTATGTATGGGGGAACCTGTAGGAGATCTGGGCTCCCTCTGGGGAGATCTGTGACCCCAATGGTGTGTGGGTATAAGAGAGAATATGGCTCTGCCATTCCCCTTAGCAGAGGTGAATACATGTGTTATTTATGCCTTTTGTAGTCATGACATAAAAGTAGCACTTTATAACTACGTAAATTGGGACGCACTCTCAGCAAGCTGTACTTAAAATGGCACTGAAAATTGTCCCTGTCCCCTTTGCCACACAATTGCAGCGGTGGCATGTGTCCGGAGACCCCAAAGCAGGGGAAACACAACTCCAACATTCCTAGTGTTTTCTTGAATAACCTACAGACTTTCTCCAGTCTAGCAGCCTTTATGGCTCTCAATGTTGTATGACTGGTGATGTTTTTGTTGCAGTGGTATGGACTTGACTCACTTGACTCTTACCTGCCCAAAGAGTAGCATTTCTGGGGCATTTTTGATGGTTTATGGGGATTGCTGGGTCGAATATTTGGAACTGAGATAATCGGGGCCAACAAGTTTACTTATTGGTGCTTCTTGTAATGATGTTCTGAGATTCCACTCTCCTCTCTTCCAACTGCTCCCTTACAAATAAGTCTGGACACATTATTTTAAACAATGTTAGTAAAATAATGTTACCTGGCTTGTGTAGTCATTCCCCAGGTCACGTATTTGTCTTTTAAATGAGCACTTTCATTCTCCAATACAAAAGGCACGCGGTGGTGGTGGTGTAGCTGGAAATGTAAAGCCCTCACAGGCCTTGTCCTAACATAAACCAGAGATCTTGGCGCTCATACTTCTGTAGCACCTCCTCGGGGCCAGGCACCATTCCAGGGCCCTGCATATAGGAACTCATTTAATACTCACAGCCACCTGTGAGCTTGGTACAATCAGTGTCCCCTTTTATAGGTGAGGGAATTGACATACAGGGAACCTTTCTTGCGGTCACACAGTGGTAAGAGGCAGACCAGGAGCCTGATCTAGATAATCTGACTCCAGATTTAGAAAGCAGATTTTGTTGTTGTTAATCCTCACCCAAGGCTATTTTTTCCATTGACTTTTTTTTTTTTTTTTGAGAGATAGAGTGGAAGGGAAGGAGGGAGGGGAAGAGCATGCCATCGATGTGAGAGAGACACATTGATTGGTTGCCTCCTGCACTCGGGGCCGAGTCAAGCCTGCAACCCAGGTCTGTGCCCTTGACTGGGAATTGAACCCATGACCCTTCAGTTCATGGGCCCACGCTCTAACCACTGATGATACCAGCCAGGGCTAGAAAGGAGATTTTTGACAGAAGGAGCTCAGCCTTTGGAACCAGACAGCGTGCGTCTGAATCTAGGCTCTGCCTCTAACTAGCCAAGGGACCCTGGGCAAGTTATTTGAACGTTAATTTCCCGCTCTGAGGTGGTGTATGCGAGGCTCCAGGCACACAGTACTTAACGACAGCTCAGACCACTCCTGACCTTCCCCTTGCTTTCTACACACACGGACACACACACCCTTTTGGCCTGGTTACTTGATACTCATCATGATTCATAATTCGGCTTAGGGAGACCACCACCCCAGCTTCCCCTACAGAAAGCGCAGCCAGGGCGGTGTGCAGCCCCTGGGAGCACACCATGCCGGGGGCAGGGAGAAAGGGCTCATGGCCCAGCTGGGGCCTTGGCGGGGAGATGCAGGTGGGAACACTGCAGGCTGACGGACCCATTCGCTCAGGTGGAGGTCGAGGAGCGTCGGTGTGGTGTGTGCAGGGACTCAGTTCGGGGATGCTGGGGGCCCTTAGGAATAGGGGAGTGATCGGTGGGGCCAGGCAGTGCATGAGGTTTCTGTGGGGAGCAGCGGGGAGGCCCTGCAACGTTCAGTTCTGATCCTGTATGGAGACCAGTCAGGAGGCTGCCGTGGCAGGACTGGGCGGGAGACGGGGCTTGAAGCAGGGTGGGTGGGCGAGGTGGCTTCCAGATGAGGCCAGAGGGACATTCTTAGGACAACTCCTCCTCCTTCTCCCAACCGCAGCGGAATCACAGTTGTTTAGCTTTATTGAGCAAAAGAGTTCCAATCTCTGTGGAAAGGCTTCAGAATTACCTGCTGATTTTGCTGCAAAACTATGGATTAGTCAAAGAGAAATCACCCCCTGGCCACCTCCTTTGTCCCCTCACAGAACATAAATCATCCTTAGAGATCAAGTGATGCATTTGTGCCCAGAGAATTAATAGCCTTTTCCTGTATCTAAAATTACGTCCAATTTTACTCATTTCCCTTAAAGAAAATCACCCTTCAGAACCAGGCTGCTGGTTCTGAGAGACGCGGGTCAGGCCCATCTTGGTGCCAGGAGCAGCAGCCCAGCAGAGGAAGGGGCTGGCACATATCACCCCCTAAAGCTTCGAGACCACTGGCGGGTCCCTGGCATCAGTTTCCAGCCACTGTACGAGGATCCGATTCAACTCGGCGGGCCTGGGAAGGGAATGAAAGATGATTCGTACCCGTCTGGACTCACCCACCTCACACGAGGTGAACAGCCGGCCCAGGAAGGCCTTTACTGAAGGTGAACAGGAAGTCCCGATGTCCCGCCCTGGGGCCCCCAACTCCTTACTTCTCTATCTGTGTCCAGTGTCCACAATCCTTAATGTGTCCCCTTTTCAGGTGGGGGATCTGGAAGAAAACACCAGCCAGAAAAGTAAATGGCAGAGTGCCCGTGGGTCTGGTTTCAGGTTAGTGCAACATGTAAGGGGCCCCGTGAGGAGGCACCTTCCCCTCTGCTCCCCTTAGGCCAGCCCCCGCCCTGGAAAACTACATGTTTAGGAAAAGAATAACCACTTATTGAGCAACTATGACGTCCTGGGTGCTCTACATACATTGTCTTATTGAAGCATACCCACAATCCTGTGCGGTAATGGGAAAGCTCAGAGAGGTCAGGGAACCTGCCCAAGGCCACACAGAGTGGCTGAGCTGATATTCAAATCCAGGGCTGACTTGTTCTCATCACAACTGTCTCCCTTCAGAACCATTCGTTCTCAGCCCTTTCACTGCCTGGGCTTGCTTGCTTGTCACAAGATGCTTGCTTGTCATTGGCTCTCGCCATGCAGACGTGACTGCACCTCCTTCCCTGGCTGTCTCGCTGGAGGTCTGCACGCAGGGCTGTTTGGCTTCCCCTCTGGAACCTGAGCTCCCACAGTGAGTCACTGTAGCCAGCACCCGGGACCGGGAGGGGGCAGCAGCCAGCAGCTGGGACCCGGGTTTCTTCCCGACACAGCCTTAAACCCTGACCGTGTGTGGGAAAGGCTGGGGAAAATGCCCTTTTTCTCTCAGAAGCATAATACACCCCAGCGAGGTTAGAGTCCGTTACAGGGGGGCTGCAAAGGACCAGCTGAAGATCTTGAATTTCTACAGAAACCTTTGAGGGCTGGGACCAGGGAGCCGAGCCCGTGGGCTCACAGCTTTCCGCAGCACCTTGGCCGGATCCATAGCCCACACCGTGGCCGCATCCCATGCGCACCCTCCCGCTGTGCCTGATGCTGCTGACAAAGCCACAGGCAACTGGGGCCGGGCCGCTCTCAGCAGCTGGCCAGTCCACGGCCACCCCACTGCAGGCCTCCCCAGTCACTACCAACCTCCACACTGTTAACAGAGGGAGCTTCCAATCCCATCACTCCCCTCTGGTGTGGCTCTCAGGCCCGAGGCCCACACAGCTCAGCCGGGCCCAGAGGGCTCAGCAAGATCCTCCTGACTCACGGAGCTCCTGCCGTTCTCTGGGCATGCACGCTCCTCGCCTCAACACCCTGTCTCGCCCGGGTTCTCTCTTTCTGAGTGTGGGATTAACTACAGGACAGTGAGTGCCTACAGGGCAGGGTCTGTATCTTACTCATCTTAACCTTCTCAGCATCTAACCCGATCCCAACATATTTAAGGGCACAGCACAGGCCCATGAAATGAATAAATGAATAAGCGAGTGAATGAATGAGAGACTGTACCCATGCAAGGAAAAGGAAGCATCAGGCACGGTTGTTGCTCCCAAGCGGTGACAGTGAGGCTCCTGAGGAAGCCCCCGTCCAGCAAGCATGTCAGGAGAATGTCCCCCTCTGCCCTCAGCCGCCTCTTTCCTCGGGGACACCTGCCCTCTCCCTCCAGGAAGCACCGAGGACCCAGGCAGCACCGTCCTCACCCAGTCCTCCATATGCTTGGACATCTCAGGAACAAGCACTCCGTCCTTCTCTGCAGTTACCATCAGGGCTGGAATCAGGATCTGGGGAGAGATGGCAGGAGGTGGTGACAGCCAGAAAAGGAAAAGATGTCCCCTTCTTGCACCTTCCAGTTCAGGTCTCCCCTCTTCTGGGGCAGGGAGACGTGTTACGTCTTCATGCTCCGCGGCTTCCCCACTATTAATACTCGCCGAGGGGCCCAGCAGCCGCCGTGGCCCTGGCTCTGTCTGTCGCGCTTGGCCTGAAGGAGGCATCACTCCTACTGGAGATCTAGGAGAGGGATGTGAGACGGTAGAAAATATATATACTGGTCTCTGCCTCCAGGTTCCAGCACAGAGCTCCTGAAACGCCTGGACTTCTTTTATTATTATTGATTTCAGAGAGGAAGGGAGAGGGAGAGGCAGAA